AGATGCTGACTTGCCTCAGGGGTTTAGAGAACTTAACATCTGGTACGACGGGTCGACTGACCCCTCTCGACATCTGAGGAGTTTTGAAAACATGGCGGTGTTGCACCGCTATAATGATCCCGTTCAATGTCGAGCGTTCCTGACGACTCTGCGAGGACCTGCGCAAGATTGGTTTCATCAATTGCCCCCGGGAGCCGTCAAGGACTTTGACGGATTTAGTTCAAGTTTTCTGAATCAATTCGCAAGCGTAAAGGCCCAAGAGAAGTCTTACCTTACCCTGATAGGTATGCAACAGAAGGAAGGGGAGACATTGAGGGATTATGTGGCGAGGTACACACGGGCGTGCGTCGACGTCCCCTCGGCCACTGAAGAAATCAAGTCGGGAGGACTCACTCGAGGATTACTCCCAGGATTATGCAGAAACTCCTTGGCAAAACGACCTGGGAGGACGTTCGATGAGGTATTGGGAAGATGCGCCAAGTACATGAATGTCGAGGAAGCTGAAGCCGACTTTTTGCAAGCAGCTAAAGCAAAAGCTGAGTCTCGGGACGAGAAGAAGGACAAGAAGCCAATCGCGACGGGAGAAAGGAAAGGATCCCCGAAGTCAGAAAGGGAGGGGCGGTCAAGGGGATGGAGGACAACTCAATATACCCCCCTGTCAGCCTCGAATGCAAGGATATTAGAAGTGATGGAGAAAGAAATTCGCGAAAGTGTTGTCAGGTGGCCACGGACGAGGAAGGATGGACCGACAAAGCCCAAAAGCGATCTGTATTGTCGATTCCACAAGGACTACGGGCATAATACCGAAAAATGTTGGCACCTGAAGAATGAGATCGAGAGACTAATCAAAACAGGCCATCTGAAAGAGTTCGTTTGCAAAGATCGAGATCGAACCAGTCGACGAAGGGAGAGGAGCAAGAGTCCCCGCAAGAGAGCGAGGACACCCGACAAGGAGGAGCTCCCTCAGAAAAGAGGAATAATTCACATGATATTCGGAGGACCGACTGATGGAGATTCAAATCGGGCTAGAAAAGCATATGCTCGAGGACACCGTGGAAAAATTGAAGTGCAACAGGTCGAGGAAAACGGTCCAGTGATGAATTTTGGGCCAGCAGACATGGGAGAAGTCGAGAGACCTCACAACGATGCCCTAATGATCACAGCTCAGATATCAGGCTATGAAGTGCAGAGGATATTTGTCGACACGGGAAGTTCGGTGAATGTGATCTTTTACAATTGTCTCAAACGGATGGAACTCGACATCGAGCTTGCACCCCTGCACACCTCCCTTTTTGGGTTTAATGGTTCGGAAGTCGCCCCCCTAGAAAAAACCACGCTCACTGTCATCCTCGGGGAAGGCGACTTGAGGAAGGTAAAGATGGTGCGATTTGTTGTAGTCGACGTCGAGTCTGCTTATAACGTGATCCTAGGAAGGCTGGCGCTCAATGCATTTCAGGCAGTGGTGTCGACCTACCACATGAAGCTAAAGTTCCCCGTTGGAGATAAAGTAGGGGAGGCCCGAGGAGACCAGAGACTGTCAAGAACCTGTTACCAGATAGCAGTAAGAACGAACCAACGAACGGAAGAAAAGGAAGGGAAAAAGTCGATGTCAAATGAAAAGAGACAAAGGGAGAGCGACCTTAAGCCGCACGGAGAACTGATGGAAATTCAAATTGGGGAAAAAAGGAGCAGACCACTAAAATAGGGGGAGAATTGGAAGATGAGTTGCGTCGACAGTTGGTGGGGCTATTGAAAGAATTCAGAGACATATTTGCTTTTTCCCCTGAAGAGTTGACGGGAATCGATCCCGATGTCATGGAACATAAACTTAATGTTGACCCCCTGAAAATGCCCGTGAAGCAACGGCTTAGGCATCATGGGCCGGAGATCGATAAAGCAATTGAGGTCGAGGTGGATAAGTTACTGAAAGCCAAACATATCAAAGAAATTCAATTCCCAGAATGGATATCGAACACAGTGATGGTAAGAAAAGCGCTAAATAAGTGGCGCATGTGCATTGATTTTTGCGATTTAAATTTAGCTTGCCCAAAGGATCACTACCTCCTACCAAGAATCGACCAGTTGGTCGACTCCACAACTGGCTGTCAATTGCTGAGTATGATGGACGCATCCCAGGGATATCACCAAATCCCGTTGGCTCCGGAGGATCAAAGCAAAGTGAGTTTCGTGACGAGCAAGGGGACGTATTGTTATGTCGTCATGCCTTTCGGGCTTAAAAATGCAGGGGCAACATATCAGAGGTTAATGGATCGAATGTTCAAATCGCAGATCGGGCGAAATATGGAAGTTTACGTGGACGATATCTTGGTGAAAAGTAGGTCCTCGATCTTGCATGTGGAGGACCTGAGGGAAACATTTATGACACTAAGAACATTTGGAATGAAGCTAAACCCAAGTAAGTGCGCCTTTGGAGTAAGGGCAGGACGATTCCTGGGCTACGTCGTGACTGAGAGAGGTATCGAGGTAAATGTTATGAGTATTTTTACCGTAGTAGAATCGAAAGATTTGTTCCCCGGGTCGTATCGCAAGGAAGGTTAGCCGGATTCAATTGTACGATTATTCGATCACAAGAAAG